TGAGTCTTTGCCCCAAACTCAAATTTTCTAATCCCATCTTTGCAACCTGATATAGTGTAAACCTTCGATATTGCAAACTTAGATTATTTAATCAAACAGAATTGATAATTTTAAATATATCAGATCTACGACATTGGGTTGAAAATTTATAGGAATAATGAAATCAGAGTTGGTGGCAAAGACTCAATTCATTAATAAATACATTTCTTTATACCATTTATTCTTTAAATTTGCATCTAACATAAATTGTTGTTTAAATGACTGGCCACATGATTTTAAGTGACCCCCCCCCTACCCCTTTGAAGAGTGGGATTTCCAATTCACGGCCTGTATCTGAACAACAACAAGGAAGACAACAAAGAAAAATGTTATTTCTGGAAATTTAAAATGTTTGTGATTCCTAGATAAGTTCTGATTCCTAGATAAGTTCTAATTCCTAGATAAGTTCTGATTCCTAGATAAGTTCTGATTCCTAGATAAGTTCTGATTCCTAGATAAGTTCTCTGATTCCTAGATAAGTTCTGATTCCTAGATAAGTTCTGATTCCTAGATAAGTTCTGATTCCTAGATAAGTTCTGATTGCATAAACCTACAAGTCACTAATATAATAAACCTGCAGTTGGAAATGATCAAAAGGAAAACAATAATATATTCGTCTTTTTTACTCAGACAAGGGTTTAAAGGTACCGATGTGAATCGGGCAGACTCATACTAAATGAAGAGTCACTTGAAATTGCGTCGACATTCTCTCTACGCAATTTTCGAGCTATCTTAAAGAGACTGTAAGCGTATGACCCTTCATGTAAAGATGACAAGAGCCGAATCACAATGGTTTCTATACAAACAAGGGCATATACAGTGAGGGTAGCAAGGGGGCAGTGCCCCTACATAGATCCTCCAAGAACTTAGAGCTTTCACACTTTTCAAATCTGAAACTGAAGTGTGAAGAGTATTCAAAACATTAATTTGCTTTTTTTCTGCTAGTTTTGTTTGATGGAGAGATAAAGTAGTCCTTGTATGGTAATTGGACTGTATAGTGTATGTGTACCTTTAAAGTATCTAATCCCATGCACTAAAAAAAGGAGGCTAGTGTATCATATGATTAAAGATTATAATTATTCAAAATAATTACTTATGATTATTCAAAATAATCATTAATGATTAACGTTGCACAGAATGTACAAAACATATTTTTAAGGAGTTAAGAGTATTAAAAACATTAATTTGCTGTTTTTTCCGCTAATTTTGTTTGATGGAGAGATAAAGTAGTCCTTGTATGGTAATTGGACTGTTTAGTGTATATGTGTACCTTTAAAGTATCCAAGAAGCCAAATGTTTTGAATTAACGGTTCAAATTTTGCCCCCCTAGAAGCTCTTAATAAAAAAATTCGCTTCGCGCATATTTTGCCCCCTTCTAGATTTATTTCTGTATACGCCCTTGTTTACAAAATTGACTTGCGCATATCTTTTGCAGGAAAACATGGAATATTTATCAGAATTAACCGCTTTCTACATTGTAAACAACAATATATTTCACATTATTGATCATAGCAAGGTTTAGAGGGTACAGTTCTTAATCGAACATTGCCATCTTTGTATTTAGGGTCACTTGAAACTACGCTTAAGCTATTCCATTTATTGTTCCTTAGAACTAAAAATGGATTGTCAGAAATACACGAAGATATATTAGTAACTATCTACTTTTAGATTTTTAATTTCCTTTCTTCTTTCATGGATAATGGAATAATTTTACAATCTTAAATCTAAAGGAGGGGAGATTTGTGAACGAAAGAGTTTTTTCTTGTTTTTCTATTTTTTATTATTATGTATGTAATTAATAAAACACTTTTTATCAGAGCTGCGCTATTTGGAGTACTATTCGTTTCAAAATACAGTCTGTAATAACTTCTAATAAGTTTTCGTTCATAATTATAAAAATTCTATTTGGAATCCTATTCAGAATAGACAGAATTAAATACATTAAATCCAATCAAATATATATTTTACCAGTAACTTCACATTAGGTATATATATTATTTAAAATTTTTTATATAATACAGACATTAGACAATCTTTAAAAAAAATAACTTTAAATAAAATTAACAGATTGGAACTCTTGAGAAAGGGTAAAAGTTTAGTTTAAAGATAGCGAAAATGTGAAATGCATGTTTTTACAACTTAAAAGTCTTTCCCAATAAAATACCACTTTTGTGTATTGTATGTTTGGTCTCTGAAAATGTGATCTAATTCTTATAGCAATATATACTAGTTAGAAAAGTTACAAATATCATTCTGTTCTGGGGGGAGGAAAACCCGTTTAATGATATTTACACTTTTAAGAAGATTTATTTTCCACCATGTTTAACTATAATGACCCAGCAGAGGGTGAGGTGGGGTATTATCGTGATTAGATAAAATAGAAGGAATTAGTGCAGGAAGTCTTATTCAGCATTCAGCCTCCTCCAAACAGAGAATATAGAAGATAAACTGTGTAGCAATCAGGAACAAAAACGCTACTTCTTTCTGTACAATTTACTCTGGATGATTATTGAATGTTAATTTTTCGAAAAATAATACCAAAAATAATTTTTAAACAGAGCGAGTTAAATGATATAATATCGGGGAAAAGTTAGAGTTATATTTCTTGTCCAGAACTCTATCTCTTTGTTCCTAGTTTATTTCCTGGTTCATAGATAGTGACAATAATGACAGGACACTCAAAGTAAAACATGGCCAATCTTAAAAATATAGGAACAGTTAGAACCAACCTGAGAAATGTAGGAACAGTTAAAGCCACCTGAGAAATATAAGAACAGTTAGAGTCAACCTGAGAAATATAGGAATTCAACACGAGCCAACCTGAGAAATATAGGTACAACCAGAGCCAACCTGAGAAATATATTGAAGCAACTGGAGCCAACCTGAGAAATATATTGAAGCAACTGGAACCAACCTGAGAAATATTGGAACAACTAGAGTCAACCTGAGAAATATAGGAACAACTAGAGCCAACCTGAGGAATATAGGAACAACTAGAGCCAACCTGAGGAATATAGGAACAACTAGAACCAACCTGAGAAATATAACTAGAATAGAGATAAACAGGGTGAACCAGTGATAAACAGGGTTAACCAGAGATGAACCGGGGAACAGGTTGAACCAGAGATAAACAGGGTGAACTAGAGATAAACAGGATGAACTAGAAATAAACATGGTGAGCTAGAGATAAACAGGGTGAACCAGAGATAAAAAGGACCAACCAGAGATAACAGGGTGAACCAGAGATAAACAGGACCAACCAGAGATAAACAGGAACAACCAGAGACAAAAGGGTTAATCAAAGATAAACAGGACCAACCCGAGATAAATGAAGGACCAACTAGAGGTGAACATGACCAACTACAGATAATCAGGACCAACTAGAGATAAACAGGACCAACTAGAGATGAACATGACGAAACCAGAGAGAAACAGTACAAATCAAAGATAAATAAGACCAACCAGAGATAAACAAGATGAACCAAAAATAAACAGGTTCACCCAAGACCTGAGATAAACTGGACCAACCAGAGATAAACAGGACCAACCAGAGATAAATAGGATGAAATAGAGATAAACAGGGTTAAATAAAGATAACAGGGGCAACCAGAGATAAACAAGACCAACCAGAGATAAACAGGACCAACCAGAGATAAAAAGAACCAACCACAGATAAACAGGACCAACCAGAGATAAACAGGACTAACCAGAGATAAACAATACCAACCACAGATAAACATAGCCACCCAGAAGTAAACAGGACCAAACCAGAGATAAACAGGACCAACAATAGATTAACAGGACCAACCAGAGAAAAACAGGACCCACCAGAGATAGACAGAACCAACCAGAGATAAAAGGAGAGATAAACAGAACCAACCAGAGATAAACAGGACTTACCAGAGAGAAACTAGACCAACCACAGATAAACAGAGTCACCTAGAGATAAACAGGACCAAATCAGAGATAAACAAGACCAACCAGAGATAAACAGGACCAACCAGAGATAAACAGGACCAACCAGAGATAAACAGGACCAGCCAGAGATAAACAGGACCAACCAGAGATAAACAGGACCAACCAGAGATAAACAGGACCAACCAGAGATAAACAGCACCAACCAGAAATAAACAATACCAACCAGAGTTAAACAGAACCAACCATAAATAAACCGGACCAACTTGGACCAACTTGGATCCTCCATCCTTATCCTGCCATCCTCATCTTTCCATCCATATCCTATATCCTTATCCTTCCATCCTCATCCTACATCCTCAAACTCCCATACATCCTCCCATCATCATCTTCCCATCATCATCCTCCCATCATCATCCTCCCATCATCATCCTCCCATCATCATCCTCCCATCATCATCCTCCCATCATCATCCTAATCATCATCGTAATCCTCTCATCCTCCCATCCTCATCGTCATCCTCTTCTTCATCAAAATCCTCATATTCATCCTCATCGATCCTCATGCTCACCCTTATCCTTCCATCCTCATCCTTCTATCACCATCCTCCGATTATCATAATTCCATCTTCATCCTTAAATACACAATTAACTTCATTGTATAGTTATTAGTTTTTTCTTTTTCCTTGGTTGGTTTTAGGAGTTAAGACTTACAAGTTTAAAGTTCTCTGTTATAAAATGTCGAACTTGTGAGTTAGAAAAAAGACGACTCGGCTAGGTTTGAGAAAGTATGGTTGTCACCTAGTGTACAGTACACGTAGATTCTAAAGACAGGTCCACAAATTCTCGGCATTTAAATTTGTCGATTTTTTGAAATGTTTATATTATTTGATATACCTGGTTTCTCAAGTGTGAATTATTGTCTGGGTTATCGTAAAATCAAGTTATTTATTTGGCACACTTTAAATATTTTTGCCACCAACAAATAGTCTAATATTTGATTGAAGAACTTCTTAAATGACCTATTTTTTTGTAATACCAAACAAAATAGTTAACGTGTAAATTTAAAATTTCAGAAATCATGGATCTCATATTGTATTTAACGCTGGTTTCAGTTTTTATATTTTCTACCGTTGATTCATTAATGTTCCATCTTGATCCAAATACAAGGAAATGCTTGAAGGAGGAAATACACAAGGGAGTTTTAGTAACAGGCGAATACGAGGTCAAGTATTACTCTAATTATGTTGATAGCTACAAATATTATCATTCGTTTTTCTTTATTTTTCTTTTCCACAATTGAAAATATCTCATTTCCTATATTTCCTATTGAACCAGGAAATTTCAATATTTTATAAAATATATAGCTTTTTCAAATGATAAAATCTCGCCAATGCTACTTGTTATTTATTGTTGTTTTTGTATATTCTTAGATTTTTCCTCTTCCCTTTTATCTATCTATATAGTTGTAATCTCTGTTTGTCCGATCATAGCTCATGAATCCTTTGACCGATTTGTCTCAAATTTTTATTGGGGAACTCGGGAGAACGACAAGAATGTTCCTAGCTTGCTTTTGAGATCCAAGTTTAGTGGGTTCACTTATAACGGGCAATTTATCTAAAATTTAGTAATTTACGACAAAGGATTGGTAAACGATGGGATTAATTATTACTCTCCTGGGCAACGCTGGGTTCCGAAGCTAGTCATTTATATTTTTCTTTCATCTCGCCTTCTAAAATATTTAGCTTCGTTCTAATATTTTCCTCGATCTGGTCGTTCTCCTTCTCAACTTTATCCTCACCCTGTTCCTTCTCCTCCTTAACATTTTTTTTTAAAATTTTCTCCTCACCCTCTTGCTTCCCATTCTTCATTCTTTTCTCTACTTTTCTACCTTCTTACCCTCTGCACCCTCCCCCTACTCAATATAAAGTAATTTTTTAGTTATTTTTTAAGTTTTTAGTCGACGTTTTGTAATTTTGACGTTTTGTAGCAGTCGACGTTTTGTATCATCGACGTTTTGTACCCACTTCTCCTAATTAACCTTTCTTTTCTTTTTAACCTTCTCTTTATTCTCCTCCCCCTTTCCTTTATCTTTTCACTCAACATTCTCTACATCCTCTCATCCCCTTCCTAGTTCTTCTTTTCCATCCTTTTTCTTATTTATCCTAACCCTTCTTGTTCTCTTTCCTTCCTTTTCTTCTGAACCTTCCCCTCGCCCGTTCGTTCTTCTTCTCCTTACTAATTCTTAACCTTCTCCTCATCCCTTCTCTCGTTCTTCCTTCCTTACTTACTCTACTTCTAAACCTTGTCCTTATCCTCATCTTCATGTACTCCTCCTCCGCCTCTCTCCTAGTTTATATAAAGCATGTCTTCAGGTCAATGCTCTCCCTGGGCAGAATGTTGATATGATGGTAACCGACACCAAGGGGCAACATTTTGTTAACAGGTCAGCTATTCAATGGAATTTCAATCAAGAACTATATAAAAAATCGTGTATATTTTCCTGACCCCCTCCCCCCTCCTAAGAAAACCTTTTTGTGATTCATTACAATTTTCAGTATTCACGAAACGTACAAAAAAGGCCATTTTTTTAATGGGTTTTGGAAATTTTATATATATAATTTAATTTAATTTAGTAATGTTACTCTTGAACCTGTTTTCACTTTCCTTTAAATTTTGCCCCTTTTTCCCCCTTCCCTATCATTTTACGTATTTATATTGTCAAAAGGATTTAAACTTTTTATAAAAACCGAATATTTTGAATATGTTCTTCCAGGGAAAGCACAGAGAAAGGGAAGTTTGCGTTCACAGCTGACGACTACGATGTGTTCGAAATCTGTTTCATCTCCCGAGTTCCGCATAATATGCGAGGAGGAAGGTAGGGTATTCAACGGAGAGATTGTTCATGACACCTTCCAAAAGCAATTTGGGTCAGACCAATTTCAAATTTGGATGATATTTGCTTATAAATAGGGTAAAAATCTATCAATTTGGAGCGAAAACTTTGTCTGGAGAAACCTCGGAGTTTGAATGACCTGCCAATTTAAAGACTGAAGGAACTGTTAAACGGAAACTTTCAAGATTATGAGAATTTTGATACGACATTTGGTAATTTTTTTTTGTACATGGTTATGATTGGTCATGTGGACGCAGCGCCCAGCACCCTAGCCTGTCTTAGCCGCGGTCCTCGGCCCCTAGCCTGTCCTAGCCGCTGCGTTCGGCCCCCCCCCTCTAGCATGTCCCAGTCGTAGCGCTTGGCCCAGAAATGGTCTTAACCTAACCAAACCCTAAAATAATAAAAAATAACTAAAGACAATTTTGCTGAAATCATGTACACAATTAATAGGAGGGGGGGGGGGTCCAAAAATCGTTCTCTATGACTTGCCCCAACATTTTTAAACCTGACCGTTTGAAACCACTACGGTTTGCGTCTTGATCTCAAACTTATAGAGATCCGATCGGTTCATTAATGTAGGAATATGAATATATTTATTAATTAAATTACTTGGTTTAGGCATGAGATATTCCTGCAGACCAAACACGGAGTAGAAGCTAAATCCTACGCGGGACTAGGAGATGCTGCTAAACTCAAACCTCTAGAGGTTGAACTCAAGCGTCTAGAAGACCTCAGTGAAAGCATTGTTCAAGATTTTGCTTACATGAGGAAACGAGAGGTAAGATCATGACAAGGTACCAAGTAGTTGGACTAGGCACGACTAGTTTAACTATTTTATGATAAATTGAACGTACCTTCTTGATAAGCTAAGGGTTTTAAATTGAGCACTGACGAGCTTGAAACATAGTAACTCTGTAATGTTTAGGAGGAGATGAGAGATACCAACGAATCCACAAACTCGAGAGTTCTTTATTTCTCCCTCTTCTCCATGTGTTGTCTTCTTGGTCTAGCAACTTGGCAGGTTAGTAATTAAATCACGAATATTAAGCTAGTGCTAGAATATTGAAATTATATCCATGAATCGGAAATCGGAATTGAAATTCTAATTGAAAAAAATGCATCCGGAGTTGAGTCGATACATGGTTCGATTTAATGGTCTTCAAAATCATATCACCATTCCCCCCAGTCCTAAAAAATTATTTAACAGAGTTTATTCTTTCATAATTTACGCAAGACTTAGGATAACAAGACTTAGGACAACAAGATTACGAAAATGGTTAAAAAATTCTAAAGCCTAACATCCGGATCTGGATCCTAAGTTCTGCATCTTGTTCCTGTATTTTCTAACTTTTGTTCTAGGTTCTGTATCTGAGAAAGTTCTTCAAGTCAAAGAAACTGATCGAATAGATAATCGTCATCCCCAGATCAATACCTTCATCTCCAGATTAATATCTTCCCTAAAACCATAAAATTGTTTTATTTAAAAGTTAATTTACGTTTTATTTAATCCCCCAAAACCTCCACACTGGATAAAGTTTAACTCCAATAACTGGCTGATTTTTTACTTGTTATGAAGTCCTAGTAAATGGGATTAAAGACCTGTTAAATTGCCAACCTTGAGCTAGCCAAGGGACTTGCATAGACCTGACGAAAAACCTTATAATGGTGCAAATGTACGGTTTATCCCAAAATACATTTATTTTCATAGTTCATCAACTCAGAAAGCATTCCAAGGTTTGATCAATTAGATCAAGTTAAATTTCTTTCTTTAAGTGGGGTTTAAAACCTAGAGAATAGCTTTGAATGTTTTTATTCAGTTTATGGACACTTTTTTTTTGACAAACTTCGTAGTTTAACTGTTTTATTTAGTTTTTAAATTTTCGAATATATTCTGCCCAATATATGTTCCTTTGACCAGGTCCTACGTGGTTTACATCATAAAAATACAGGGCTGCCCAAAAATGATGCCACGACTCTATCGATTTTATTCTCTTTGGGTTCTTTGTCACAGATATCTAGCATTTACAAGACTATAAGATCAAGTTTTATAGTAAGAACTTACTATCTGAAGAGTACTAGGTCGTTATTAAAGTTTCAATTCTTTGTGGGTAGCCCTATACACAAATTGTGTTCTAAATTATGGTTTAACATAATGAACGTTTATTCAGAAACGGTTTAAATTGTATGATATCTAATTTTAACTATTACATTTGAGGAGGGAGGGTAGGGATCTAAATGTTAAACTGTTATTAATGAAACTTATTTGGGGCCCGAAAATTACATTGATATAAAAAGTAGAGATTTCTGCTGAATGTTTGTATTGTTGTACTTCTCCATCAAGTTTGTATGCTACGAAGAGAGATTTGAAATTTTGGTTCTTGTATCATGTGTGAAATGTAAATTATAAATGTTAATTTTGCTAATATCATAAATAAATTTGGGCGTTGTTTAGTTATCCTTGAGTAAACATAGCTGTTTAGAGAACCATCAATAAACCTGTTAAGATATCCTTGAGTAAACATTTTGTTAAGATATCCTTGAGTAAACATGTTGTTTAGATATCCTGGAATAAACATATTGTTTAGATATCCTTGAGTAAACATATTGTTTAGATATCATTGAGTAAGCATATTGTCTAAAATATCCTGGAGTAAACATGTTGTTCAGATATCCTTGAGAAAACATATTGTTAAGATATAATTAAGTAAATCTGTTGTCTAGATATCCTGCAGTAAACATATTGTTTAGATCTCCTTGAGTAAATATATTGTTTAGATATCATTGAGTAAAAAATTGTTTAAATATCCTTGAGTGAACATATTTTTATATATCCTGGAGTAAACATATTGTTTAGATATCCTTGAGTAAAAATATTGTTTTGACATCCTTGGGTAAACATATTTTTATATATCCTGGAGTAAACATATTGTTTAGATATCCTGGAGTAAACATATTGTTTAGATATCCTTGAGTAAACATANCTTAAAACCTTCTAATACATAGAAGGATCTCCAAGCCCCTAGAAACCATCTTTACGCCTCTCGCTATTTGGCTTTAAATCCACCAAAAGCTAAATGCACTATATGGTGAGAGGCACCACTATTTCCCCTTCCATACCACCACATTTGACTCTTCCAGGAAAAACTACTTTTTTATATGTTTAGGGCCTTTAAAGGGGAAAAAATCCAACCGCGTCACGAAAAAAGCACCTCTAACCATTTTTCAATTCTACTTAAGATTAATATTTTGTGTGTTGAATTCTTAAACTGTTTTACAATGAAATTTTTGACAAATTTGACTGAGTATTGCATCTTGAAAGTCTAATTATTATTCAATTACTGACTCATTATACAAAATCCATCTTAAAATCACTCACTAACCAACTTTGTGATATTTCAAGATGCGCAATTACTGAGTCAAATTTGTCAAAAATTTCTTTGTAAAACAGTTTAGGAATTCAACACACGCATATATTAATCTTAAGTAGAATTGAAAAAATGGTTTGAGTTGTGCTTTTTTGCGTGAGAAAAAAGCTATTATGTGGCACGGAAGGGGAAAAAGTGGTGGCTCATGGCCGCCTGCCTTTTCCCGCTCACATCACACCACTATATACAGGGTGTCCCACATCATATTAGACCGTCAACGGGTTTAAATTGCGATTTTCGGGACTAATAAGAAAATTTATAATTAATTAGAATAAATCAATTTGAAAAATAACATAAGGCTTATATAAGAATTTTCTTGCGGAAAATGATAAGTATTAAGGGTTTATTTTGTCGTTAAAGATTAGAGATAATCTAATATGATATGGGACGAATGGGACGCTCTGTAGCATTAAAATTTTTCTTAATAAAGACGACTTTGTAAACGTCTTCGTTTCAGAATTTAAGAATTTAAGAACGAAATGTGATGCTGGCCGCGCTCCGTTACGAAATGCATTTTTCATTCTAGTGTACACTGTACATTCTTAGAAAGCAAACTCATCGCATTCTACCGGCTTTTGTGATACCGTCATTCTACACTTCTTCAACAATTATAATAATGATAATGATAGTATTTTATTTGAGTTTTGAACAATACGTTGAACATGATTAAAATACTGTTCTTCTATGTTTTTAACCGTGAATAATGGAACAAAAAGAAAATTAATCGTTTTAATAATTTATTTCTTTATTTCATTGATTTGCAATATTGTTGTTGTGAATTGACAACTTCTGTACTGTAAGTTATGCTTGATTGCAATTAATACGAAATAGGACAGACCCGAATTATTTGAATCGTATGATTTAGTAATAAGTATTATTGTGTCATCCACATTAACCCCCTCCCCTCTCTCTTGGTTCCAGAAATGCTGAATGTTCTGTTAAACTGTCTATCTCGGTCTCATGGGTCTGTCCTAGTGAACGATTTTTGGACCCCCCCCCCCCTCCTATCTATTTTGTACATGACCATTTATTTTTCAGCAAATTTATTATTATTTATTGTTTTGTTATTTAGGGTAAGGGGTTCAAAAATCGTTCTCTAGGAATGTACCGGTCTCATTTCTTGAAAATCGGAAGCCGGTAGGACCATTTACAATTCTATTGTTTCCGATTTTACCATAGATTTTTAGGATGCATGTTAGATGCGTACCTAAGTGTATTTGACGAAAAAATTTCCTCTTTAAAGATTTTGATTGATGCTATGTGTAAACTTATCGAAACCCGCTTGTATTCAGCTTCAAGGGTGCGCTATCTACACCACGAACTCAACACAGCTCACACAGCCTAATTTGAGCGGGTTTCGATAGTTTGACACACACTATCTCTGTAGTAAAAAAACACATAAAGGTTTTAAGGGTACCGTTGTAAATCGGTCATTGCCCTCTTTACATGGAGGGATACTTGAAATTGCGCTTACAGCCCCTTGAAGTAAAGTTTAAGAATAAGAAGAATAACTACAGAGAAATCAGTGTGTCGGATCCGGATCCGGTCGGATCCGTATCATTTGGTCGGATCCGGATCCGTATCAGGAAACGTTGATATGGATCCGGGTAGCGCCAAAAATTAACCAAAACCATGGAATAAATAAATCAAAATGGTTCGTAAATGTAATATTTACATGACGAAAATTCAAAATTATCTTTAATAATTTAATGTTTACATTTATATAATAGTAATGACGACATTTTTAACTTTAGGATTACTATAGTTTATAAATTATAACCTTGCATAACATTTAATAGGGAAAATCCGATTCACAGAATCACGGATGCGGATCCGCGGATCCGGATCCGAATCAAAATGATATGGATCCGAAACACTGAGAGAAATAATAGTTCCCATTTCGACACCTAAAATTATTGTCAATAATATTTTAAATTGAAATATTGTTATCTTCTGTAAGTTTTGTTTTAAATCTTGTGGTTTAATTGTGAAATTAGATCGTATTTAACTTTGGCAATTAGGGACACATATCAAGTAAGTAAACTTCACGAAAGAACTTTGCAATACTGATCATGGAAATCTTTCATTAAAGATCATCGATCAAAGAATATCCTTTACTAGATTAATAATGACGAAAGCAGAATTCTCCCGACTACCAAGCTCTGTGGTTCCCATCAACTACAAGATTCATCTCATCCCTGACCTATTCAACTTCACCTTCAGGTTTAGATCATTAATAAATAATATTTAAGACATTTGTAAAATCATCGAATTTTATGTGTATTGTTTAGAATGTTGGATCTATTCACGATATACAGGGGTGCAAACTTGTATTTCAAATTTTTGTGGGTTTCGGTTATAATACGTAAGCTGTAAAAGTGAATTATGGAGGAAAATTTCCTCTACTCTCTCCCCTGGATACGCCTCTGGATTTATTTAATTTTTGGGAGACAAAATTGAAATTTTTATGACCTAATTTGTTTTCAATGGATAGGGATTTGTTTATTTTTCAGGCTTTAGCTAAAACGAGAATAATAAAATTAAAGATTTTCAGGGGCCAATTGTTAGTTTTGGAACTAATTTCCCCTGATTTTAGTATATCCGGAACTAATTTCCCCTGATTTTAGTATATCCGGAACTAATTTCCCCTGATTTTAGAATATCCGGAACTAATTTCCCCTGATTTTAGTATGTCCGGAACTAATTTCCCCTGATTTTAGTATATCCAGAACTAATTTCCCCTGATTTTAGTATATCCGGAACTAATTTCCCCTGATTATAGTATATCCGGAACTAATTTCCCCTGATTTTAGTATATCCATTTTTAAGGGGAGAATGTGAGGTTCAAGTTTCCGTGAAAGAGGAGACTGATCTGGTGATCTGTAACGGGAGCAATCTTGAGGTTCAGGCAGCCTCCGTCTGGGTCGGAGAGGAGGAGATCTCTGGACAGGTTTCATCTTCGGAGGAGGAGGAGAAGCTTACGCTGAAACTAGGTATAGTGTTGGGAGTAAAATAGGGGAGAGGGGGTGGGGGGCAATGGATAAAATTCGGATTTTTTCGTTTACAGGGTTACCCACTAAGATAAGACTTCAAAGACAACCGTTCAAATCTTCTTCAGAATTAATTCATAGATTCATCGTTCATTGCAGCAGCTTATTTATTTCATTCCGTTTCCACATCGATCATTATCATTCTTTACTGGTAGCAATGTCTTCCTCTTTTAACATTTTTTGATCTTGCGCGATATTCTTAATATTCTTATAAAGTTTTGTTTAGTCAAGAAGCTAGGAGTTGGCTCTGCTCTGGTTAAGTATAGATTCTCTGGGATCCTAAATGACAAGATGTGTGGATTCTATCGGAGCAAGTATTCTCTGAACGGAGAAGATAGGTAAACTATTTCCATCAATACAATCAGACAAACCATTGTCCATGTTCGGGTTCTCCCGGAGAAAAATATCAAGCAATAGAAATTTTTAAGACTTAAATGTTTATATTTTTCTTTTGTATTGAGAACTCTAAAATGATAATGGTTTATTGCGATTAAATCAAATATAGGTCATCATTCACAAATATTAATAAAAAAGTGAATTGATGGTATTCGGGCATGTAACTTTTACAGTGGAGGAGGTCCCTTCAAATTAAGGTTTACATAAAATTATTTCAAAGCCCTGTAATGTTCCATGAATAATTTCTTGCTCTATTGTTAACATCTGGATACTTCAGATACGCTGCAGTTACTCAATTTGAGAGCACAGATGCAAGACAGGCATTCCCTTGCTGGGACGAACCCGCTCTGAAGGCTACATTTGATCTAACCGTAACCGGACCAAAGGATAGAATTATACTCTCCAATATGCCGGAGATTAATGTAAAGGAAGACGGAGACAGTAAGAGTGTAACATTCGACTCTACCCCAATAATGTCTACCTATCTGGTTGCTATTATAGTAGGAGAGTTTGAGTATGTTGAAGCCACTACTCCGGACGGGATTAACTGCAAGGTTTATTCTCCGGTGGGTAAAAAGGAGCAGGGACAGTTTGCACTGGAGTGTGGAGTAAGAGCGCTAACTTTCTATAAGGAATTCTTCAATGTTCCGTATCCTCTGAAGAAGTATGACCAGGTCGCTATTCCTGATTTCTCAGCTGGAGCTATGGAGAACTGGGGACTTGTAACCTACAGGGAAACCTGTATTCTAGTCGATAAAGAAAACACGAGTGCAGCAACAAAGGTATACACGTTTCAAATATAACAAGTTTTATTAATTTGGACTTAAAGACACTAAATTTTTTTCTAGGAAAGAGTTGCTATTGTAGTTTGTCATGAGACTGCTCATCAATGGTTTGGAAATTTGGTAACCATGGAGTGGTGGACCCACCTTTGGTTGAATGAAGGGTTTGCCTCCTTCATGGAGAACCTGACTACAGATCATCTGTATCCTGAATACAAGATATGGGACCAGTTTGTATCCTCAACCTTAAAGGAGGCTCTCAAACTTGATGCACTGGCCAGCAGCCACGCTATCGAGGTTCCTGTTGGTCATCCTGCCGAGGTTGACGAGATTTTTGACATCATTTCATACAACAAGGGTGCTTCAGTTATTCGTATGCTCTTTCATTGGATCGGAGAAGTTCATTTTAAAACTGGGATGCACAACTACCTTACCAAGTATTCATATCAGAACGCCGAGACACCACAGTTGTGGGATGAGCTGGAGAACGCTAGTGGGTTGCCGGTCACTAAGGTTATGACCACCTGGACCAAACAGATGGGGTTCCCGGTCATCTCGGTCAAGTCTAGACAGGAAGGATCTGACAGGATTATTACACTCTCACAATCTAAGTTTGTATCTGGTAAAGAGATGGACGTATCCTCCTACTTTTGGCAGATCCCCATCAGCATCATGCAAGGTGGAAGCAAGCATATCACACAGATCTTGATGGACCAGAAAACCATGAATATTACAATTTCCAACGTGAAACCAGACGAATGGATTAAACTAAATCCTGGATTTGTTGGTTTCTACCGTGTTCTCTACAGTCCAGAGGATATGGATCTTCTTCGCACTGCTGTCAAGACTGGTGCATTATCACAGATAGATCGTCTCAACATTCTAGATGATTTGTTTAGTTTGATATCTGCTGGAAAGGCGAGTAGTGTGGAAGGATTGAGGTTGTTGGAGGCGTATAAGAACGAAGACAACTATGTGGTCTGGAATATTATCAATGATGCGATCAGTTCTCTGAGCACACTTCTAGCAGATCAAGATTATTATTGCAACTTTAAAAGATTTGTTCTGGATCTGTTCTCTGAGATTAAGACTAAGGTGAGCTGGGATGAAACCGAAGGAGAAGATCATCTTGATACTTTGCTCCGTAATCTTGTTCTCTCCAGACTTGGTAAGTCCGGAGACGAGGAGGTGAGAGCCGAGGCAAAGAGAAGGTTCGGACAGATCTCCAACGGAACTGCTAAAATAAAAGCAGACATAAGGTAATTCAATCTTTTTTTAGAATATTTTTTTAACAGTTAAAACCTTGATAATAGATTATAAAGTGAATATTCTAATATAATAAATCCATATGTTTAGGTCAACCGTTTACTGCTGTACAGCAGCTGGAGGAGATGATACAGATTTTGAAAACATGGTGAAACTTTACAAGAACTCCGACCTAGGGGAGGAGAAGGACCGTCTCACTAGGTCAGGGATGTCTAGCTTTGAGAAAAAGGAGTTGTTGAAGAAAGCTCTGGATTTTGCTATTTCCGAGAATGTTCGATCCCAGGATACTTGTCATTTTATTGCTGGTATCGCCAGGAACAAGTACGGTAGAGATCTTGCTTGGGAGTTCTTCAAGGAGAACTATGACCTCTTCAAGAATAGATATAAATCCGGGTTCCTCATCCATCACCTCGTCAAGTCCGTGTCCGAGAGGTTTGTAGACGAGGAGAAGGCGGCCATGATTGAGAAATATTTCGAGGAGAACACTTGGCCCGGCACAGAACGGGACGTATCTCAGGCTGTGGAAACTATACGACTCAACGCTGCTTGGCTCTCCCGGGATGGGGGGTCCATCAAAAAGTTTTTTGAAACCCTGTGAAAACGAATGCTCTGAATGAAATTTTAATGTATGCTATACTGGTGATTAAAACCTGGGTTTATTTTCTAACGTTCTTTTTATTTTCAAGATTTTGTCGAGTGTGGAACTGTAAGTTATGCAAGAATGGAACTTAACTATAAGAAGATAACTAAAATCGTAAACTGACCAATTTAAGTAATACAAAAGAATCATAGAAAAAATATAGAATTAATTGGTATATTCCTAGAGAACGATTTTTGGACCCCCCCAGCCCCCCCCCNGGGGGGGGGTCCAAAAATCGTTCACTAGGACAGACCCAATTAATTTTTATCTGTTATATCTTTCTTGTATCAAAATATAAATAAATGTTTTTGATCTGCTATCCATTTGGGTTGTCGTTGAATCATGTAATATTTTTGTGTCAACAAAACTAAACAAAATCTTGGCTATTTTTTTCGAGTTAGTATGCACAATTATAAAAAGAGTAAATTTTAGTATGGATTATTTTTTCAGATTACTAGGAATATCGAAAAATGTTAAGGAAAGACGAGTGAAACCTATTTAATTCATAATGGACTCGTCAGACGACGACTGTGAGAGCGATCTGTTTGTCGGACCTGAGGCTCCGATGGTTTTTTTTATGCAAGCCTCGGGAGCAGTGAGGCAGAAGGTATAGGATGGAATTAGATGATAAGTATACACTTAAGACAGGGTTAGGGTCTGTCCTAGTGAACGATTTTTGGCCCCCCCCCCCATCAATTTTGTACATAGATCTTAAATGTAAGACATGTGGCCGCAGCGCTCGGCCCTCTAGCCTGTCCTAGCCGCAGCGCTCGGCCCAGAAAGTGTCTTTACTAACCTAACCCATGGCCGCAGCGCTCGGCCCCCTAGCCCATCCTAGCCGCAGCGCTCGGCCCAGAAAGTATCTTAACCTAACCTAACCCTAAATAACAAAAAAATAAATAATAATAAATTTGCTGAAAAATAAATGGTCATGTACAAAATTGATAGGCTGGGGGGGGGTCCAAAAATCGTTCTCTAGGAATATACCTAGGGTTACTCTGAAAGGACGAGCCTGTATATATAACTCGATTATCTGAAATATGACAATATTTCAAGGTTGTTAAACTCGAAAATCTTGAAATATGGTAATATTTCAAGGTTTTAACTCGAAAATCTTGAAAAATGACAATATTTCAAGGTTGTTTAACTCGAAAATCTTGAAATATGACAATATTTCAAGGTTGTTTAACTCGAAAATCTTTAAATATGACGATTTCAAGGTTGTTAAATGTTCTGCCTTCGATTTAGTCCTCAAATGGCTTTGGCAAAGAACTCTGTAGAGAATCATGAATATTAGGAAACAGACAGTATAATTTCCGTACAGTCGTCTTCGAAGTCTCATCTCAGTGGGTTACCCTGTAGTAAACCCTGTTTTGTTTTCCACGATATTTATTATATATTTATATATACTAAGATCTCTTGCATTAAAAATTAGGAAATAATTGTGTTGATACAACATAACCTTGAGTTCTGAAAGACTCAATCATCTTTATTAATAAATAGTCTGATATGCCAGATTTTGATTTCAACTAATTTAGGTGAAGACTATGGTAGAAAATAATGGAGGAATTTTAACTGATACTCTTCACATGGATCACAGGGAACACATGATTCGACTTACAGCCCCCGGAGAGACTACAATGAAAAGGTTAAACTGCAATTTAATTTAATCTTTGAAAATAGAATTTTTCGTTTTCCTATCTCAATTTTAATTAAAACTTATTTTAGGGAAATGGATTCTTTTGATTGTAAATACATACAGGACTGTGTTACAAAGAAGAAGATATTACCATACCTGATAGTTTACAGAGTAAACAGGAACTCTATCTTCCAAGATTATGATCCTATCTCCGTCCTAACCAGAGAAATTAAATGGTCCGATGTCCCCCGACGTATTGAAGGAGAACAAGTTTCCGATTTAGAATTTGATTCTATTGATAATGAGTACAGGGCTTTTAAATCAAGAATGCCCTTCACACATAAAGAACAGTTGAAGATTATCCGGGAGGTACAAAGAAGGAAAGCTTACAACATTGTTAAAGGAAATGTACTCTGGAAGCGGATGGAGGCGGCGAAATTTGACGAAGGAGGAAGGTAACCGATACAGTTTTTTCTATTATTATTATTATTAAAACATTTCCCGTCATTTGGTGAAGGTGGGGTCAACGCTTCTAGCGAACCCATGGATAATGCCCCAAACTTAAAACAAAATAATTTAATAAAATTGCAAAGATACTTTTAATGCAGTTTTTCCTTCAGATTACAGGACCTGTCAGTCCCTGAGAAGCCATTTTTATAAAAAATTCCTTGATTTCAGGACCTGTCAGTTCCTGAGAAACCATTTTTTTTAAATAATCCTTGATTTCAGGACCAGGCAGACCCTGAGAAACCATTTTTATAAAACCATCCTTGATTTCAGGACCTGGCGGTCCCTGAGAAACCATTTTTATAAAACTATCCTTGATTTCAGGACCAGGCAGTCCCTGAGAAACCATTTTTATAAAACCATCCTTGATTTCAGGACCTGGCAGTCCCTTCAGAAACCATTTTATTAAAACCATCCATGATTTCAGGACCTGGCAGTCCCTCAGAAACCATTTTATTAAAACCATCCTACCTGGAATACGAAGTTTTGGATTATCAGAGGAGGAAGTACGGAAGTTTCTTCATCCCAGTTCAAAGGACGCCAGGTATGGCAGATTAGGTTTATCGCAATTTGAATTTTAGTTTTTCAAAAGTCTAGTATTTTTTCACTATTGATCCTTAATTAATCCTTACTTAAATCGGAGAATTTAAATTTTATATCTTGAGAGGATTATAAAGGAACTTTTAAAAAAATTTGATACTTTAAAAAAATAATTCATTTTCCCTAAACATTAAATTTATTTCAATAAGATAATTAATAATTAGTTTTAATTTTAACAATGTCAGGAGTTTCTCTGAGTCTGAGTCTGAGTCTGATAAAGATATATTTGAAGAAGATGAAGATGTTCCTCCGATACCCAAGGAATCTGACTACGAGGAAGAAACCAGTTCAACCTCTGAATCTCCGGTGAAAAAGCCAGGTAAAATTTAGATTTTTCTTTATGTTTGGTAAATATTTTAATTCCTAATTCTAGGTTCAGCGGTATCAAGTCATGAGCAAGAATTTCCAGTCTCTGATGAGAACAGAAATCTTTCTCAAACCTCTGTGGCTGGGCTTGCCTCAGAGATTCCGCACAGATCAGAAATCCCGGAGAGTACACGAACTGAACCCAGAACTGTCAACCCTGAGCCTGGTCCAGAGGGTCACGCAGAGAATACAGGAACTGAACCCAGAACTGTCAACCCTGAGCCTGGTCCAGAGGGTCACGCAGAGAATACAGGAACTGAACTCAGAACTGTCAACCCTGAACCTGGTCTAGAGGGTCACGCAAAGAATAAGATAAATGATAAAACCGACGAGTTCTACAAAACTGCAGTAGAGTCTGATATTGACTCCGTATTATACCAGGAGAACGAGATTCTCAGAGAGTCGAGGACGAATTTAAAGAAAAGAAACTTTATGGATGTGGGAGACGATCCTGAGCTAGAGCAGTTGATGAATGAAACTCGCATCCCAGAAGAATTGATCGGATTTAATTCGGTCAGTGATGCCGGCGGTTCAAGGTATTCAAGTAAACTATCAAAATATTTAAAGTTATTCATTAATATTTAGGTTAAAGAAGAAAAGGAGGCTTTACAGTAAAAATAATTCTTATCTCTCCGATTGCGTGGATGACAGAACTCTGTCTGTTCCTTCTCCGGTGAGACGCGGAAATCATTCTATCCCGGAGGAACCGGAGATAGATACACCCTCGTCAGCTGAGTTTGCTGCTGGATTAAGTGAAGCTACTGGAGAGGGGTTGGAAGGAGAAAGTCAACCTGTTATCTTTGAAGGATTGACAAGTACACAGAAATTGTTTTCCGATTCTCCTGATGTCAACCAAAGATCAGGTTAGTAAAGAGGATAATTATCTATCTTGTTTTAAAGCTGCCAACCGCATTGAATATTCGTCTCACCATTTACACTGTAGGTTTGGGTACAGCTCTTGCCGTTGAAGGAAGTTGTAATCCTGAAGAGCTTCAACTTTTTCTTGAAGATTCTAGTGAACTTCAGCTGGACATCGGAGATAACCAGCTTATGATAGATGAGGAGGATAAAGAACTATCTGAAAAGGTAGTTATAATCTAGTCATTTGATAGTTCAAAGATTGAAAATTTAATTTATTTATTTCAGACCGTTCAAGAGCTAAGGGAGTTGGAAGAGGAGGATTACCGAACCTTGATGCCGGAGAGTCCATACCTTCTGGCTCCAGAGGATACGGTTGACAATAATCAACATGGAAATAATATTTCCCCCGTATTTTCAACACAAATATTGTCTCAACCTCATATGGATCATATTCCAGTAATTCACGACGCTTCTGTATCTTCCGGCTTGGAAACCATGGTCGATAATCCTGTTCTAGTAAGCGAGAATGATGCTGGAGGGTTCGAGGTTGAAGTTGGAGCTGTAGGATCGGATAGTGTTCTTGCCAGTAATACAGTTGATATTCATACAGTTACTGATGGGGTCTGTGAGTTAACTCCCCGCTTGAGAAATATTAGAAATATTTCAAAAGATTTGAACAGGATAGCCGAGGGCGATGAGAGAAGATCATTTGACGTAAATAGAATAGGTAAGAATGTCCTAGTTCAAAGATATAACGAAGATGGTGAAATAACGGAAGGTAGAGAGCTTAAAGAAGCTGGGCAAGATGATAGAATTGAAGACCGGGATTCTGGAAAAACTAACCAGATGAATGATGTTCCTGACAACGCAAACGATGAAATCCACGATCATCTTATACTGAATAAATCTGGAAACCTTCCTGCTGAAAATCCGGTAAATACGATTGAAAATTTAGAAGGGCTAATACCGGAGCATAGAGCAGATACCTCTAGAGTTATTATCAGTCCAGAAAACGAGGTTTCAGAAGCAGAAAGTCAAGATTCAGATGTTTCAAGGAGAGTTCGGAACCCTACAAGGTTTCAAAACAACGCTAATAAGCCGGTAGTAAGAGGCAAATCCAAGAATATAGCTGTTTACGTGCCGGAGGGCCTGCCCAGTGATGTCGACAGCAGTTCAGATATTAAACAAGTTATCAGTGTTAAAATGGGGCGCGTGGTCAAACAAAAACATCCCAGATTTGGGAAAAATAAAAGAACTGATCGTGAGATATTTGATCGAAGATCCCCGAATACTGCTTGCTGTAAGAGAATAAACTCTGCCAACGGATACCCAAGGTCAGTTACATGAAACAGTAGAAATACTGAAACCACAATTTTCTTCTTTGTCTTAATCTTTACAATTTCATGTGACCACTGAAAACCTGAGAAAACTGCAGATAAATGAAACTGAATTTAAACCTAATAATTGCTAGTCATATTTTTTTAGGTTCTACAAATACATAAGGTATAGTGCTTGAATAGGTTGATAGATGTTTAAAAAATATCGCATGTTTTCTATCTATTTTTAGTTAGAAATTCGCTTAATGGAAGATTGCAGAAATTTGAGTGTACTTCATTAGATAAAAATAATGTCTACACTGTACAAGTTACATTTTTTTTTAACCGAAAGATGATGTTTAAATGTTGCACTTTTCCGTTCTCAATTATATATTTCTGAGTTTGTGTGCTAAGATTTAGATAATCAACTAAGACTTTTTCCTGTTTTATCCCTTGGATTTTCTTTCACGATCTTACCATTATGTTGTTGATTTTTCTTTTGTAGTCTTTTTCTTTTAAAATTTGTTTAAAATTTAGCTGCCATTGAAGTAGAATTGGAGTTATTTTTGAACATTTTCATTTGAAGTAATGTAGTTTTTGCACTAATCTTTCTTTTGTGTTGTTGAAAATTGACGCCATTTTTTGCTTTCATTTGAATGCTTTTTTTAGGTAGTTAAGGATGTCGTAAGTATTTTTTTTAGACAAAGGAACTGAGTTTTGCCACAAACTAAAATATTCTTATCCCTATATCTTGGCAACCCAATGTCGTAGACCTTAGATATTTCAAACTAGTAATTCTGTTAGATCAAATATCAAAGGTTTATACCCACTGGTTGCAGAGATATAGAAATTAGAAAATTTGAGGTTGTGGCAAAAACTCAATTCCTTTTGAAGGCAAACCTTTTATTATCAGTTGTTAGATCTTGTTGATATCTTTGCAAACTACCGTCGTAGACTTGTAATATTTCAAACTGGATTCTGCTAAATAAAATTCGCAAAGTTTAAAATATTAAAGGTTTACACCATCCTGTGTAAAGAAGCAAGGATTATAAAATAGAACCTAACCATAAAATTACAGTTTGTGGCCAATAATCAGGGTTGGTTTCTGATCAGGGGTGTATATTTTCTTGAAAAATATCCTCCCTTTTAAATAACCTTTTTATGTTTTATTCGCTGAATTGAGATCGAGAGATAAGTTTGCTCATAATAAAATATTTTCTAATGTTCAGGCGGAGGAGTAGTGTTCTTTCTAGTTCCCAAGACGATATCTCTCCGACGGAGAAAGAGGAAACCTGGTCTTCAGGTAGTTCTGACGAGGATATATTGAGACGTAGAAAACTTGGAAAATATTCCAAGAAGTTTGCTCCGTCCGCACGGGAGGGCTCGAGGGAACTGGAATATAATGATACATTAAACAGTTCCATGGAATCATTAGAGGAGGATCAGAGAAACCGGCGGGGAGGGAAGAGACCAGTTCTAAAACAAAACAATACGAAGGACCAAAGAAATTATTCTCCTGAACCTCAGCCAGGACCTAGTCGTCTCGGAGATATTGAACCAGGATCTAGCCAGTCAAGAAATCCTTCTCCTGAACAAAGGAGTCTTGGAGATGTTGAACCCGGGCGGAGCAGTCCCGGAGACATAGAATCGGGTCGAAACCGTCTCAACGATCCTGAGCCTCGACTCAGTCGCCCCTTAAATGCCGAACCTGCCCGAAACGGTCTAAAAGACCAGACTAGGATTAACCAGAAAGAACCGACATCTGGTAAAAATAAGGATGGATCCCGGAAAGGAGCGAAGGCTAAGCTGATAATTATTGGGAAGGAAAATGCAGCTCCGTTAAGAAAGTAAGTAACCATACAATAATTATCTGGAATTTAGTTGTCCGTCCACAAAGAAAAGTCTGTTAAAACCAAAGGATTACCAGAAACTCCCGTAGTTTGTTTACGAATATGGTGTACTGCTGTTTTTGGGAGGAACATAAATAAACCTCAGTCTGAGAAGCACTGCGTTTGTTTAAATTCCTCCCAGAAACACTTCTAGGTTTAAACCATGTTGTTATCAACAAAAATATTCTGATAGTTAAGTATTTTATTTATTTAATGATAAAATTATATGGTATTGTTTCAGAGCTAATTTCCGTGATCCCTACACCATAGCAGAGCAGAAGAGTATTGTTCAATACCTAGAGCTAAACGGAGGATTCTCTAGAATAAAGTAAAGTTTAGAATCTAGGCCTGGGGGGGGGAGAGTTAAAGAAATAGATATACTTTTTCTTATTGTCGTTTTTTTACTTTTTAGAGGAACTGTTCTTTGGAAGAACATGGTTGAAGACGAAGTTGCTCCGGGTAGAACCTGGCAGTCCATAAAACAGAGGTATAGTTCATATCCTGCAGAACAAGACAGTCCATGTTTGATAAAAAGAGCATTAATTACATTATGTAAAACCTGCCATTCCATGTTGCAGAGATAAAACAAAGGTTATGTTTCAACAACTGAAAACTGGCAGTCCATGTGGTAGAGATAAAACTAAGTTTATATTGGAACAAAGGATCTGGCAGTCCATGTGGTAGAGATAAAACAAAGTTTATATTGGAACAAAGGAACTGGCAGTCCATGTGGTAGAGATAAAACAAAGTTTATATTTAAACAAAGGAACTGGCAGTCCATGTGATAGAGATAAAACAAAGTTTATATTTAAACAAAGAAACTGGAAGTCCATGTGGTAGAGATAAAACAAAGTTTATATTTAAACAAAGGAACTGGAAGTCCATGTGGTAGAGATAAAACATAGTTTATATTTAAACAAAGGAACTGGCAGTCCATGTGGTAGAGATAAAACAAATTTTATATTTAAACAAAGGAACTGGCAGTCCATGTGGTAGAGATAAAACAAAGTTTATATTTAAACAAAGGAACTGGCCTAGATTTCTACGGAAAGAAGGTTGATAGGTTATAAATATTTTGATAAATTAGTGTCAGGAAATTATTCTGTTCAGAAAATTGTTAAAGTTAATTTTCCAGGAAAAAAAAAACATTTAAATTTATGTAATTTTAGGTTCTTGACGCATATACTGGACAGTCTAGGAGCCAAGGTTAAAGAACGATTACGGAAAGCTGACCGGACGAGCAATGAAGCCGCAGAGAAGAATCAGGAGAAGGATGAAGAGGATGAGGATGATGAGGATGATGAGGATAATAACGACAAAGAAAAGACGAAAAAGAAAACCAAAAAAGTGAAACGTCTTTACACTAAGAGTGAGGATAAAAAGGTATTTTATATTGTTAACTTTAAAACCAAGAACATTCTAAAGTTTTCAATAACAATTCTCCAATAATTCTAAGTTTGTTGAAATGATCAGTTTGCATGAACTAAGTTTATTGCACTAATTTTCAAGTTATACCTCAAGTTTAAACCGTATATTAATTTTAGTTTGATAAACCCATAGTAAATATAAAATTAATCTTGTTCTTTATAAAAATAGTTCTTAAGTTATTGACGCAACGAAGCCCGCGCACAGATAAAAGGTCGATATTGAGGTTATTCATTGGTGGAGAACTCCCAGCTAGTCTGCCCTGTCAATCACAATTCTCTTTACACTCACTCGGAACACACCCTCTCCGCTATGACGTAATTAGAAAAGCGGCGTATTAATAATTACCTTAAACCCTGAATATCCCTGGCTCATATGAACTCCAGTTCAGATCAAGTAATATTTATGCTTTAAACCTTTGACTTCAGGTCTCCTACGGTTTCAGTTTCTTCTCCCCTAGACATTTCATTTCTTTCGGAGAACAAGCGTTCTCATCGGTGCCAGGGATTGACGTCTTTCACCAAATTAAGTCGTTAAATCCTCAATTTAAAAGTTTAAGGCCGTACCCAATTCAAAAGTTTCTCTCTCAGATCATAAACGTATATTTTATATTTAGATATTAGCGTATATATCTGAAAACAAAAGATATGAAGATACTGGTGGGAACGCTATGTGGATTGCTATGGCGGAGAAGAAAATTGTTAATAGGTCTTGGGAAAGTATGAAAGAGAGATTTAAAAAGGTAGAAATATTTTTTATAATCCATTATTTTATTGATTTTTTTAAACCAATTGAAACATCTAGTCTTCTCTGTATTTATGCTATATCTAGTTTTCTAAAGATTTATCCTTGATCTAGTGATCTTTATCTAGGTGTTAATCCTATATCTAGTTTTTTCAAATTTTTAACCTAAATCTAATTTTCTCTAACCTTTTCGATTATTAGTCTCCTACCCTGGCCAGTCTCTCCCCCTGAGG